CATGCATTACCTGGTATAAGTTCTGGACGAGGAAAAATATGAGTCCTCTAAATCCATCCATTGAGAAGAAAATACCTGGGAGACCGAAAAAAAAGATAAGGCAGGAACAATGTGAAAGCAGTTGTGGAACAAGATTGTCTAAAAGAGGAGTAAGGCAAAGGTGTCAACTATGTTTCAAACAGGGACATAACTTAAGGAAATGTCTTACTAAACAACAACCTCAACAGACAACAACAACACCACATACAACAACACCATGGAAGTAGATGGATTGTCCCTTTGCATTTTGTGTTAAACTCTGTTAAGGAACTAGTAAATGAATTACCTTTTATCATATTTTTGGTACAACTTTACTTTAGTTAAACTTTATGTATTTTTTCAAATCTTGAATGGAAATATGGTCACTTTATATATTTTGTTAATCTTGAATGAAAATTTTGGTCAAGTTTATATAACTGTAAATTTAAATGAAGGTTAACATGTTTGGTACTGTAAATGTGCAATAGATGTATAAAAAGTAACATTTCATAAACATTCAATTATTCAAGTACACCAACCTTATACAACTAAAACAAACTTAAGATTAACAGGTACATAAAAAGTACACTATGAAAAACAACTAAAACAACCAATTCTAATCTATTAATTACTCATGGTAAACATTACACCAAAAAACATAAACAACAATATCACAAGCTTGTACACAAAAGCTTCACACTTGGCCTTTTTCAACTTCTTCACTACTTCCAACAATTTTTAACCATCACTTACACAACAATCTCTTTTGCATTTTTGCAATACTTGAGCAACCTTCAACTTTCGATTCTCTCTTAACAACATGGTTATTTTCTTTTATAACTTCGAGCAGAATGTCCCTTTTCTTATTTGTCTCCAACATCTTCATCAACCCAACGAAAGAAGTTACATCCATTGTCCTGCATCACATTTCATGAAGTCCAGTTAAAACAAAAGAATTAACAATGAACCAATATGGACAACCAAAGAATAAATCATAGTGAAGAATTTCATAACTAACCAATATGCATCACATTTCATAAACTCAAAAGAATTAACATGTACATGAACTAACTTCGAACCAATTTGGGCAACCGAAGAATCGCTGGCCTTTGCTTAATTCTTTTCTAGAAGTATGAATTACAACTTTCTTCCCACAATCGCAGACAATTTCTCGACAGTTTCTTCCCTTTGAGTTTGAGGAATATGGTGACATCCTTTAAAAAATATAATGAAAAACAAATTAAAAACGAAATAAGAAAAAATACATATGAAATCGAAAAGAACTCTAAAAACAAATCGTGAAAATACACAAATGAATAATCATGCAAACAAATTCGTCAAATAACCCAAATGAAGAACCCTAGAAACAAATTAGTTAAATTACCCAAAAGAAATCGAAAAGAATCCAAATGAAATCCAAATGAACACTTGTTTACCTGAAATTTCAGAAGACAACCCTTGAATTGATTCTAAATAGTGAGAAATGCAATCCTTGATTTTTCTGAAGAGAACCCTTTGCAAATATGAGTTTCTTCTGACCGTTGAATCGATGTGGAAAATAAGAGGCAAATGGGTGGAAAAAATTCGAAAAAATCTTTAAAATTATCTTTTAATTCGCCACGTGATAGATTGTTATAGGTCAGAGGATACCACGTCATCTTCCGTGACGTAAATGGATATACCCGTTAACGACAGAAAATATTATGTAGTTAAACGAGAATTTTTAAACTTTGTGTATGAAACTCAGAATCAGGTATAGTTCATGTATGAATGAGATAATTAACCCTTGATTATTTTAAGAAAAATGAAAATTATAAACATCAAAAAAAGAGATGAAAGAAAAAAATGAGATAGAAATTGGATTTTTTTTGTCATATGTCAAAAGATTTATATATTGATCTTTAGTTTATGGAAGTCTCAAACTCTTTTATAATTGTTATTCGTAAGTCCATAAAATAATTTGACATGATCATTATATAGTAGAATTTGTGGATGATAGAATTGACAACGATCACATTAAAAAAGAAGATATGTTATCCTTAAAATTTTTGAAAAAAAATTAAAAAATGTATAATATAAAGATAGTTTTAAAAACTCAATTAATTAATATCCTATTCGATCCGTAAACAAGTACAATCAATGAATTTGTTTTTGCGTTTATAGCTTGATTGATTGTATATGTTGATTAGAAAACTTATTACGAAAAGTGAAAACAATAAAAAAAATTAATGTGTTGTACGATGGTTGGTTTAGAAGGAAACACATTAGGTTCATAACATTAATTCTCTTCGAAAACAGCTATGACTTGATGGAGAAGTAAGGTCTAGAATTAATAATGGTACGTTTCGCAAGGCGGATTTGATAAAAATCTGATGTACAATTAGATAATGTAATTAGTATTTTGTTTCATATCAAGTTGTATAATTATAATATATTTAAAGAGGAGAAATTTCTTAAACTGCGTTAGGGAAACGCGTAAAGGGTGTCATAAAAATGGTTCAATTACATTAAAAGCCACATTGAAGCAGCACCAGTTCATAAAGGTCAAAGGATACTCTTCTCCAATTATTACTGTTGAAATCCCAATGCCTATCATTTCCCACCCAAGACCAGAACGCATCCCCATACAAAATTGCTTTGATTTTGAATGGAAACTTGTACAATATAAAAAGCTATAAGCTTAAATTTAATTTATACATGTGTTTGACCATCCAACTAAATTCAATATTTGATTTATTATTAACAAGAATTCTATTGATGATTTGAACATAATAAGACCTAAGAGATGTAGGCACAATAATTAACCCATGTATACTTCGAAAATTTAAAAAAATATTTTATAATTATATTTTTTATATTGATATATTAAAATTTAGGCTTAATATAAAAATAAGTGACTAAATTATAATATTTTTCTTATTTAGGTGACTAATGTTAAAAATATTATTATTTTTTAAAAGATACAATGTAAGGTTTTCATACGATTAAGGTTCAAGTTCGAGTTTGAACTTCAATAAAGATAAGTTTAAGATTTTTTTGGGGTTAATTACCTCATTCATACATGAACTATACACAATTCTCAGTTTCATACATAATGTTTAAAAAATCTCGATTTCATACATGATTTTTTCTACCGTTAACATGTTCACCCATTTTCGTCACGGAAGGTGACGTGGCACTTTAAAAATATTTTTTTAATTAAGAAAATATTTTTTAAGTGCCACGTGGCATTTTGTCATGGTTCCACATCACTTTCCGTGACGGAAATGGGTGAACCCTTTAACTGTAGAAAACACCATGTATGAAATCGATAATTTTTAAACATTATCTATGAAACTGAGAATTGTGTATACTTTATGTATGAATTGGGTAATTAACCCTTTTTTATTTCAAGTTTTTTCGAGCTTCAATTAATGGTTTCGATTTCGAATCAAACTTGAAGATTTTAGACTCACGAGCTTTCGAACCGAGTCCAACTCCATTTTAAAGTTTTCGAATTGAGTATAACTCAACAATACTCAAACTCGACTCGTTTCATTTATAGTCCCAGCCATAATAGGTGTTTATGATTACTTCAAAATGAATGATAAGATTAATATAAAAATAAACGTTTGAAAACTATAAGCATTTTAAATTGATCGAAGGACCAAGGACTGGGTATTGTGGCAACAATGATTTTCGGCTGAACGAATGAATGTAGGTGGCATTGGAGCGACGGCTAGGAGTAGTGATCCGACGACATGAAGTGGGTGTTTGACGGTAATAGTAACGGCCGGTTGATGATAACAACGACGGCGGCTATAGGTTAGTGTTTGAGATCTGGAGATGATTTTTAGGGATTTGAGTTTTTTTTATTCTTTTAATTTTAGATAAATTAGAAGTTTTTTAAATATAATAAAATTTTAAAGTATTTTATTTTAAATGATTTTTTAAAATTATCAAAACGTAATATGTGTCACTTAACGAAATAATAATATTTATAATATTAAACACTTAAATTAATGGAAAAATAATTTCGGTACCTAAATAAGAAAAATAATATAATTTAGAGAGTTATTTTTATATTTAGGATAAAATTTATAAATATAAACACCTAACCAATTGGGCTTTGCCAGCCTCTTCTCTAATAAGCTATTTCCTTTTCATCTAAGAAAACTTTGCCACGTATTTTTGTTCTCAAAACATGATGAATGCAAAGTGACAAATGATCTATTCTCCAATGACCCACCACCAATCTTTTCTGTTTACTTACCTCAATTGTAATCATTGATGTTAGTTTCTTTGGAAATGAACATGCGAAAGTATATCTAAAATCAGCTCCACTCAGATCCCAATCATCCTGCCGGATTTTAACATTACTTTTATCTCTTCTTCTTCTTTTAGTGAATTTGTCTACTAATATATCTGTTGGGATTTTCAACCGAAAGGGATTTTATCTTATAAAGAGATCACGACAAAATAAGATCATTTAAAAATAATTTATAATATGATTCAATTTCAGTTAGTATCTAAAGATTTTATTATAAAATAAAAGTTAATTATATTTATAAAAATCCCACGTCTGAAAATAATCCTAATATTAACGCATTTTAGTAATTGAAAAACATTACCCAAATATTTACTAAATCATCTTTTTTTTAATTAATGTAAGATAAATAAAAGATAATATTTATTCAAAAAATTTTAATTATTTAACAATAATCACTTATACACTATATCCGAGTACTTAAATTTCAGAAAATAATAACAACAATCTCTTAATGATTGAGATCACTTAATTCATACTACTAAATCATCATGTTAAACGTATTCAAAATGAAGAAAATGAAACAATAAAAGAAGTACAAATATTTCTAAGAATTTTACCACTTCCATTTCCAAAGCTGAAAACAAGATTAACTGCTACACTACCATATATGCTTACACATGACCCATATTCTAGCAATATCTTGAAAAGTTATTATTTAAAGAAATATATATTCGCATGAAAAACTCACTACTGCATAATACTCCAAAATATATTTCTTTAAATACAGCTTAACAAGAGTTTATCAGCCAACTGTCAGAATTTACTATTATTTTATCAAGAAACCGCAGCATCCAGCTAGAAGTCTCCTGGCCTGAACCCAAAACGAAGCTTCGGGGATGCAGCAGCACCGGAGCCGGAGCCGGAACCAGGCTTGACGGAAAATACCCCGTTCCATATCTCCGTGAAAGCTCGAACAATAATCCCGTGATGATAAGGCGAATTCAGCTGCAGGAAACAGTTGAGAAGCTCCTTTAGATCATCTTTGGAATATATCTCTTTCTCCAATATCATCTGTAACATGGACTGCCTGAAATCCAAATAAGGGTCATCCGAGTCTTTCTCCACCGCCAGGCTCTCCCCTCCGAGATGCCCGAAACCTCGTACGGTCGCCATTGAACACTTGGTACTGTCCTGGTCGTTGTCCATGTCCATGTCCCAGTACATGGCAGTGTCGGTACTTGGAGAAAAAGAGGTGCCTGTTTCGTATTCAGACAAGGAACAATGGGTTGTTGTTTTCTTGGTGGAAGAGCTTGAAGAATAGTAATTGTGAAGAGAATGAGATTTCGGTTTCGGTTTCGGTTTAAGCTTCAGTTTCAGTTTGGGCTTTGGGTTGAAAAAGCTCGTCAGCTTGGATTTCCTGCAACTGCTGCAACCTAAGCTGACTGAAACTGTGTTCATAATAAGCTTTTTCTTGTTGCTCGACATTGTTTTTTCATGGATAATCTGCAGTTGGAAGAAAAGAAAATATAAGACTCAATAAAAAGAAGCAAAGAGCGACCGACTGAGCATGGGGAAGTTGCCTATATATCATTCATGTGATGAAGGCCCATGGATGATAGTGTGACTGCTTTGTTGACTTTTGGTTATATGACAATTTGATCAGAACCGTCAAATTTTTATTTATATAAAAAAATGGTTTTGGGTCTTGCATGCATTAAGATCATTAATAGGTTTGTATTGGAAAAATAAAAGTTCTTAATTGCATCTTTATTTGTCATAATGGCTTCACTTCCCCCAAATCCAATAGAGTCTTGTGTCATTATTGAAAATGATAAATTGGAGCCAAAGGGTTAATTAGTCAATTGAGGAAAACAATTGCTAACTTTCCAACTAGAAGATTAATTCATAAAGGCTGATTAATCATTTTCTTTATTATTATTATTGACTAAATATAAAATTAGATATTTCTTTCTTTAAACGATAGTCAAGATTTTCCTTTTTATTAGTCTATGATGATTATAGGTAATATATGTTCTAAAGATTTTTAATCATTTGACAATGAAAGATTAAACACATTTGCAGATGTTTGAATTTAAGACCTCTAAATACAACAACCATCTCTTTAACCAGGTGGCTTGGTTCGTACAATAATACTCAAAATTTAAAATTTGATGATATAAATAAAATAAATCAAAATAAAAATATCACTTTTATTGTCACACCCCAATTTCTGGGGGCAAATATAAATAAAAGAAAATTTAGAATTTCAAATTATTTAAGTAAATTTAAGGGTCTAAATTGCAAGTTTTAGAAACTTGCAGCTCAGTTTTGAAACTCTAGGAAGTTCAAGGACTTAACCTTGAATTTTCTCATTTTCCTTGATAGTAAAAAATAAATATCAGAAACCCCTCCCTCGTGATCCCAAAATTTCATACTCAAACCCTAATCGTCGCCTCTACATCGCGATTCGCTCTGATCCGACCGCCTTTGTCGCGCTCTGTTGCAACCAGTCAAACCGACGTCCTCCGACGAGCAGTCCCTAACTGTCAACGATCCTGTTGAAAACATTTTGATGTTTCGATATAACAAATTAAATGTTATTGGATTTTAAGATTTTATAATCATTTTTAATGTATATTCAATTAAATTATTCGAATATCAAAATATTACTCCAAGTTTTTCAATGTCAATTTCAAATCCTTACTTAAGTGTAAAATTATGTTTTAAACCTTAAAATATTTTTGAAACAAATATTACAAAGTATTTCGAGCCTTAATCGAGCAAAAAATATTTTCCTTATAAAAGGGCTTCAAGAAAAACCAAATTGCCTAGAGGGTACCGATACCCCTATGCAAAATTTGGCTCAGAGAAAAACAAAATATCCTATGGGTACCGATACACCTAGCCATTTAACGGTCGAAATATTTGAATTTTACACTGCATGTACCGATACCCTATGGAGGGGTGCCGATACCCCACGCTCCCAACAGCATTTTTCTAGTGGAGTTTCACACTATAACAGCTCTAACATCACCCCAAATGGATTCCAAACGGCTAGAATCAATCTAAGGGGTATTTAAACAAGTTCTAAAGCCATTGATAAAAAAAACAAGAAACAAGAATTGAGAGAGAAACAAGAGAGAAAGCATCAAACATCAAGTTTGTGCATTTCAAGCCAATTTTGCTTCAATATTCATTTTGCTTTCAAGAACACATATTGTGCTCATTTGTAATCATCTTTGAGTGTTCTTTTCTTGTTCTAGAATTGTGCAAACGTTTTACCTTGTGAGGTTTTCTTGTAAGTTAGCAAATTTGTGTATTTCTCTTTGGGAGAGTGTTCTCAAGAATTTGGGGTATAATTCTTGAGGGAGTTGTAAGGTTACTCTTTGTCCTCAAAAGAAAGAACAAATTAGTGAATTTGTTGGAAAATCCTTAGTGTGGATATCTAAGATAGTGTACTTAGACTTTGGTTGAGAAAGTCGAACCACTCTAAATCACTGTGCAAATATTTTCTATTTTTTGCAAGAGCTTCCACAAAAATTTTAACTGCCAATTCACCCCCTCTTGACTATTTTGTTGATCGATTAACTCAATAATTGGTATCAGAGCCTCACTCATTTGAAGGTTTAATCGCCTCTTGAGTCGATTCGGGAAGAGTTATATCGATATTCAAGTCATCAATAACCTCTACTTCAAACTTCAACTTTGGTCTTGATTCATTGCCCATCAACAAGCCTTCTTTCTTCAATGGAGCTAATTATGCTTATTGGAAGAATATAATGATGTACTTCATTCAAGCAAGTGACATGGGAGCATGAAATATCATAGAAGACGGATACATCAAACCTTCCACTCATTCAAGATTGTGGAGTGAAGGAGAGTCAAGAATGTTCCAGCTCAACTCAAAGGTTATCCATATTATATTTTTTTTGCTCTTAGACCAGATGAATACGAGAGAGTTTCATCTTGTACAACCGCCAGAGAGATATGGGATAAACTATAAGTCACTCATGAAGGTACAAATGAGGTAAAAGAATCTAAAATTAGTCTTCTAACTCATATCTATGAAAATTTTAGGATGAAACCGAATGAAGATATCAAAGCTATGATGGATAGATTTTGCACGATTTTCAATGGTCTCAAATCATATGGAGAGATTATTCCAAACGAGAAGCTTATGAGGAAGTTACTCTAATCTCTTCCAAAAGTTTGGCAATCAAATAAGACGACGATCATCGAGGCTAAAAATTTAAAATCTTTAACCCTCGATGAGCTTATTGGTTCTCTCCTCACGAATGAAATGATGCTTAAAGAAGAGGAAGACCTTGAGAAAAGAGACTAGCCAAAGAAAGAGACTAAGAAGAAGAAGAGTGTTGGAGTTGCTCTTAAATTCACAAAGGATGAGAGTGATTCGGATGAAGATGACGATGACGAGGAAATGAAATTGTTTGCCAAACGGTTCAGAAAATTGATGAAGCCAAACTGAGGAAGAAAATTAAAACGAAATGAAGGCTTCAAAAATGAACCAAAAGAGAATGACCCTATCATTTGCTATGAATGCAAAAAAACTGGGGCATGTCAAATATGATTGGCTATAATTGAAGAAAAAGGGTCAATCAAAGAATAAGCACAAGGCTCACGTGGCTACGTGGAGTGATAACGAAGGTTCCGATGAAGAGGAACAAGAAGTAGCAAACTTGTGCTAGATGGCATTTGGGGAGGATTCTCAGGTAACCTCTAACTCATCCAATTTTGAAGATTATTCTTTTGATGAGTTGGTAGAGGAATATACTGGGTTGGCTTCGGATTATGAGAAATTATATTTAAAATACAAAAATGATATTTCAAATTGAAAAAAGAAAATGATCTCATATCCAAGACCAACATTGATCTTGAAAGTAAAATTAAGATTTGCAAATCAAACTAAATGAGTTTGAAAAGAAAAATATTGATTTTCATAATTTACTTTCAAGAGTGAATGATGATCATCAAAAGAAAATTGATGATCTTAAAGCTTCTTTTGATAAAGTTGGAACAAAACATTTTGAAAATGGAGAAAATTCAAAATCCAACTTTGTTAGAAAAAGTTTTAAAAACTACAATCATAGAGGTCCCCGTAGAACCTCTAATGAAAAAATCGTTAGAAGTATATGGGTTCCTAAAGAAATCATTACTACTAAAGATAAGGATATACTACACAAATGGATACCTAAGGGGACTAGAATTTTGGAGACTAATAAATATGGACCCAAAAGAATTTGAGTACCAAATATCAAAAATTAATTTATGTTTATAGGGAAATGAGCATTGCTACATGGCACGGGAAACGAGTTCAAACTCATGGTACCTTGATAGTGGATGCTCAAGACACATGACCAGAGACAAGAGCCGGTTCATAGAGCTTAACGACAAAAATGAAGGAGAAGTGACTTTTGGTGATAATTCAAAAGGTCACATTGAAGGTATAGGTACAATATGTAATACCTCTTCCATACAAATTTAAAATATTTTATATGTGAATGAGTTGAAGCATAATCTATTGAGTATTAGTCAATTATGTGATAAGGGATACAATGTCATGTTTGAAACTAATGGTTGTAAAGTCATTGACATTGCATCTAATCGGATTATGCTTATTGGTCATAGAATAGGAAACATTTACATGGTGCATTTAGATTCCATAAATATGACTAACGAGTGCCTAGTTGCTAAAGATGAACATGATAGTTGGTTATGGCATAGGAGACTAGGACATACTAGCATGAGTGTTTTACAATGATTAATTCAAAGAGATTTAGTAAGAGGGTTACCAAAGCTAAAATTTGATAATGATAAAATCTGTTATGCTTGTGCTAAAGGAAAACATAGAAGAGCTTCCTTTAAGTCCATTAATGATGTATCAACTAGTAGAGTATTACAATTGATCCATATAGATCTTTTTGGGCCAATTAGGACTGTTAGCTTGGAAGGAAAATAATATTGCTTTGTATTGGTAGATGATTATTCTAGATATACTTGGGTTATATTCTTAAGTACTAAAGATGAAGCATTAGAAAAATTCATCACGTTTTCAAAAAAATCCAAAATGAAAAAGGTTACTCCATAACTAGTGTTAGGAGTGATCATGGTACTGAATTTGAAAATCTTGAATTTACTGGTTTTTGTAATTCTAATGGTATTAGCCATACTTTTTCAGCACCAAGAACCCCTCAACAAAATGGAGTTGTTGAGAGGAAAAATTGAACTTTAAAAGAAATGGTTAGAACCATGCTTTGTGAAAACGATTTGCCAAAATATTTTTGAGGGAAAGCCACAAATACCTCTTGTTATGTTATAAACCGAGTAATGATTAGGCCAATTTTAAAGAAAACTCCATATGAACTTTTCAAAAATAAAAAGCCTAACATTAGTTATTTTCATCATTTTGGATGTAAATGTTTTGTTTTAAACAACAGTAAAGAAACTCTTGGCAAATTTGGTGTTAAAAGTGATGAAGGAATTTTTCTGGGTTATTCTTTAAATTCTAAAGCTTATCGGGTATTTAATA